GGGGAGGGGGTGCCTGCTCCCCGCCCGCCCCGGGGAAGGGCCTGTCTTCCGACGACGGCGACCCCCCTCTCTCCCGCCCTCTCTGGCCCGCAGCCCCCCCCCATCCTCCGCTGGGGCCGCAGCAGACCTGCTCCTTGCCTCTGCCCCCCTCCCCTGCCGGGGCCGCCGGGCCCCTTCCGCAAAGGGGGTCTCTGCGGGGGGGGGGGGGGAGAATAGGGGAGTTTGGTCGCCCCCGGGCGTGGGAGGGAGAGCCCAGCAGCTGGGGAGGAAGGAAGGAAGGAAGGAAGGAAGGAAGGAAGGCAGGCAGCCCCTTCCCTGCCGCCCGGGGCCCCCCAGGGCTCCTCGAGTCGTGTCTCCCCAGTCGGTCCTGTTGGGGCAGCTCTGACCCCCCCCCCTCTGCTTTCAGGGGAAGAGCGATGGCCTCCGAGCAGACCACAGAGGAGGGCGGCACCAGCCTCTTGGCCGCCGGGCTCGGCTCCAGCGACTCCGACCTCTCCACCGGACCTGCCAGGTAGGCTTGGCTGGCTGCTTGGGGCTGGTGAATGGACCTCCGAGGAGACTCGCAAGGGGGCCAGGCGGGCCGGGGTGGGGTGGGGTGGGGTGTGGGGAAGGTTGATCATAGGAAGTGGGTAGGGGCCACATAGACCATCTCATCCAGCCCCCCTGCCCAATGCAGGACCAGCCTAGAGCATCCCTGACAAAGATTCGTCCAGCCTCTTCTTGAGAGCTGCCAGTGAAGGGGAGCTCCCCACCTCCCCGGGCAGCTGATTCCACCTCTGGACCACTCTGACCGTGGAAAAGTCGTTTGCATGTAGCTTAGACCCGTCAGGTCGGGTCCTCTCCTCTGCTGCCAACTGGGACAGCTCCTTGCCCTCCTCCAAAGGACAGCCTTTCAGATATTTAAAGAGAGAGCCCTCACGTCCCCCCCTCAGTCTCCTCTTCTCCAAACGAAACCTTCCCCGGGCCCTCAGGCTTTCCTCGCAGGGCTCATCCTGGGTCCTCAGGGCTGAGGCCTTCCGGTCGCAATCTGATTCTCTTGGGGATTTGGACGAGGGCTGGTGGGGCTCTCGTTCACACGCTGCTGGCTGGTGCGTGGATGTGAACCCTGGGATGGAGGGGGCCTCCTGGTGGTCCCCAGACCTTGCCTCCTGTTACACTCAGTCACTTGGGCAGCCCCTCACTCATTATTGTGCGGGGCTGGGAGGTGCTCCACAACGTCCCTTGCCACTTTGGCGCTCGTCCAGAGCGCAGCAGGAGAGGAATGGATGAGTCTGACCACTCCTTCCCGCCCCCAGTTCCAGAGGGCTGCAGCATCACTGAACGCTCAGAGCAACCCTCCATGGCCATTTTGCTGCCCCATAAGCCCAGTGTGGAAGGGAGGGGACCCTTTGGGGGCATTGGGGCCTGCTTGGTGTTCTGCCATTCTGAATTACTTGGCATCCTCTGCAAACAGCCTGCCCTAACACCACTCACGGTCAAGTTAAACAGCACCAGTCCCCATACAGGTCCTCACAGGACCCCTTGGCTGGCTGGCTGGCTGGCTGCCTTCCTTCCATTACGGGAACTGCCCACTTACTCCTGTCCTCTGCTTCTTGCTCTTCAGCCGGTTCTTACTCCACAAGAGGAGCTCTCATGCTCTGGCGGCCAAGTTTACTCAGGAGCCTTTGGTGGAGGACTTTGTCAAAAAGTTGCTGGATATTCAAAGTACATAACTTGGTCACCTCAGTCCGCGTGCTTGTGAATGCTCTCAGTGAATGCTCCCCAGAGCTGGTGAGGCTGCCTTCCCTTTGGAGCAGAGCTTCTAACTCAGGAGAAAAGCTGAGAAGAAGCCGGTGATGTTTTTATCGGTTTGATGCAGCCTCCGGTCTTTTGAAGGAGTGTTAGAACCTTTCTTGTGTTCCGGTTGTGAAGGCAGGGAAATCCCTACTTCCTTGGCCATGAACTGCTTTCTGCAAGCTAGTCTCTTTCTTGGCTTCAACCACCCTGCCCCCCCTTCCCCCCCCATCAAGGCTGACCCTGCCATGGTGCAGTAACATAACCAAGTAGTACTTGGGTTTGGTCTCAGTAACTCCCTGAGTAAACTCACAATAAAGCAAAAGGAGGCTTTATTGAAGACATGCAAAGGAAAATATAAAAACAAAGCATACCGTTCAGTGGCAGTAAAATGTGCAGAAAAACAAGAAAGCTAACTGGCTACCTTTACTGGAGTCCTAACATTGCACCGTTGGCTCCCAAAGCAAAGAGTCCTACAGCGTAATACAACTATCTCCTGGCAGCTAAGGGGAGGGGGAAGGAAAGGATAACATTTCTTCTCACTAACCATCTTGATGGAAAACTGCAGGCCATAATCGCCTGACCTCTTCAGCCAATCACCAGGCTGAGAGCAAGCCCCCCCCCGCTCCACAGCTGGACTATGTGGGCCTAATTAGCAGACCTGGATGGAGGACCTTGACGAATATCCCGATGTGTGGTGTCCCAAGCACCTGCGGTGGTAAATCAGAGAATAATAAAGTTGGCTGGAACAGACTGGAAAATTCCTTCAAGGTGGCTTGACCCCACCCCCCAGTGTAGAGTTAACGCGAATTTTCTTGACAGGCTTTTTAAGCACTTTCAACATGATATTTATATGTGAGGAATTGAAGTGCTGCACAAACCTTGAGTATTATCATGAACATGGCGGTTGCCAAAGTTGTGGCAGGACACTGTCCGTGTCCTGAAGAGAAGGATTTGGCTGTGGAGCTTGATGGGCAGAACTTGGTGGTAGGGAGCGCCATTGGTTTCCTAGCAACTGCTAGCCCAGTCCGCCTAGATTGCAAGCCAGGTATGAAGTCAGTTGCATACAAACGAAACGGGTTTTTTCCTTCCTCTAGATTTAGCCCTCTGCAGTCTTATCTTGACTTTCGGCCAGAAGTCCTTCGTAAATTCCTCCTAGAAGACGTTCAGAGCTCAGTGACTTACGTTGTGGCAAAATTTTGTTGCTTAGCTATTAGGAAACGTAAACTTAGTTTAGCTGAAAAAATTGTATGATTCTCTTATTATTATTTTATTTTACTAATTTCATTAATTTTCTCTTGTTAATGTTTTTATACTATTCCTATGTCATCACTGTTTTAATCTTTCTTATATCAGAATTGTACTGTTTTACTGGCTCTTGCTGTAATAAATTAGATCGGATCGGTTCTGCTTACTAGTTGTCTCAGCATTTCCCCTCATCGTGTTTTCAAGCACAAAAATAAAAAGTCCTGAAGTGTCTGTCTTTCCATTGGGAGCTCCTGGGCAGAGTGTGGCATTGTGCCCTTGTGGTTCTCCATCCCTCCTTGCCCGGCAGACGCTGAGAGGCGGTCATGGCTTTGTCCCATACGTAAGGGTGCGGCTTGCACTGAGGCTTAATGCATCTTTCTCTCTTCGCTCCTTCCAGCAAACGTGACCTTTCCATTCCCCACGACGAGGATTGCCTGCCGCTGGCCGCTGTCCACCCCCATCCTGCAGTCTGTGAGGACTGGGAAGAGGATCGCTTGGAGGCAGCAGAAAGGGGCCCGGGGTTGCCACAGAGTGATGATTCCTCCCTGCCGGCTCCCCAGGCGCAAGAGGTCCCCAAAGAGCCTTCGTCTGCTCCCGCGGAGGCCCTGCTCCCCTCGCCTCAGGCCTGTCCCTCAAGTGAGGAGTTCTCCTCTTTGCCCGACTCGGACAATGCGGTGGGAGAGAACAGGCTCCAGATGGCCCCGCCGCCCCTGCAGGCAGCCCACTCCACGGACCAGGCCGGTGCCGTCCTCCTCCTCTGCTCCGAGGCTGAGCTGGGATCTTTGATCTTGCAGCACGACAGGCGGCAGAACGGATGCCTGGACGTGGAAGACACTCCCTTGGTGGAAAGCCCCGATCAGGAAGGCTTGTCCCAGAAGTCCTTGCAGAACATCGCGGTCCAGGTCTGGGGCACACTTGGGGGTGGGGACAGGCGGGGGCTGTGGGAGACTGGGAGGGAGGGCGAGTCCTCGTCATACCCTGAGGCTGGGGTGGTTAAGCAGCCGGCTCGGCTTGTTAAAGTGCTTCCCTGCAACCAAAGTGGTGGATACTTATTGGCCCTGAGCAGGAATTTGTTCTACTTACTTTGCTTAAGTACTTTTTGTACTTCCTTTTCACCCAATCGAGGTTCCCAGGTGGCAAACATTAAAAAAATCACAACATTTAAAAATTAAGAACATAAGAGATGCCAATGTTGGATCAGGCCAGTGGCCCATCCAGACCAACACTCTGTGTCACACAGTGGCCAAAGATACCAGGTGCCCTCAGGAGGTCCAGCAGTGGGGCCAAGACATTAGAAGCCCTCCCACTGTTGACCCCCCCCCCCAAGCACCAAGATGACAGAGCATCACTTGCCCCAGCCTGAGAGTTCCTATCTATACCTTGTGGCTAATAGCCACTGATGGACCTCTGCTCCATATGCTTATCTAATTCCGTTTTGAAGCCGTCCATGCTTGTAGCCACCACCACTTCCTGTGGCAGTGAATTCCATGTGTGAATCACTCTTTGGGTGAAGAAGTACTTCCTTTTATCCGTTCTAACCCGGCCACTCAGCAATTTAATGGAGTGCCCACGAGTTCTTGTATTGTGAGAAAGGGATAACAGTACTTCTTTCTCTTAAAATTAAAAATACAGTCAAAATGCCCTGACCTGGATAGCCCAGGCAAGCCCAGTCTTTTCAGATCTTGGAAGCTAAGCAGGGCTGATCCTGGCAGCGGCTTGGAAGGGCAACCTCCAAGGAATACCAGGGCTGGGACGCAGAGGCAGGCAACATCAAAGCCACCTTCCTGAAACACCCTCTAGCCCCAGTAGGGGTCACCAGAGGTCGCCATGACTTCCAGGCTTGCAAGCACATACATACACACGCGCACACAATACTCACAAAAAATCAAGTTAGAAACATTTAGACTGTGATAGGAGGAGGGCAGATAACCATTATTGGGGTAGGTTAGACGAAACAAGGAAGTCTTGACCTCCTGGCGCAGGACACCGCTGCAGGGAGACAGGCAAAATCTCTGTGAGGAGGGAAGTTCGAAGTTTTGATGCCACAATGGGAAAGGCCTGTTCCTGTGTGGCTGCCCCCCCCCCCCCCCCCCCTGTTTTCAGGGATTTCACCTTGAGTCTTGAAGTCCTTCAGGCCCTCTGTCAGCCTGGCATCTCTGTCTGTTTGCCTCGGTTGCCGAGGGCACTGGACGGTGAGGGCTTTCCCCAGAGCATTCGTGAAAGGGCAGCTGCCTCTGTGTGAAGCGTAGCTGCTGGGCCTCTTGACGTCTGTGACAGGCAGAATTCTCTTTTCCCTTTGCAGACTGACTTCAAGACGGCTGACCTGGAAGTGAACACAGACCAGGATATTGAGAAGAACCTGGTGAGTGAGCTCGAGTGTCTTTGCCAGATTCAATTGTCACATCAGTCACTGCAGGGCTGAAGCGGGGGGGGGGGACCCTGATAGGACCCTCATGGCCTCTCCCTTTTAGTTCTTGGACCTAGGAGTCGGTTGAAGCCTAAGGCATGTTGGCATCAGTTGCCTGCGGATGTGGGCACCCTCTCTCCAGAGTGATTTTAGATTATTGCTCTGTGGTTGCATCTACGTTTTATTGTATTTATTCTGTTATATTTTAACTTGCTGTAAGCCGCCCTGAGCTTGCCCATCCGGGGAGGGTGGAATATAAATCAAAAATATAAATAAATAAATATGATAGGGAGCCCAAAGCCTTGGAGAAGCAGAGGTGCAGGGGCTGCATTTGCAGTGTAGCAGTTGTGGTGGGCTGTAAGGAGAGGCCCCCCAGGGCAGGTGTGCCACAGGGACAGGAGCTCCCCCAAGTACATCCGCACAGTGCCCAGATGTGCCCACCCCTGGGGGTTCCATGTCTGTGTGTGGCCCTCCTTGGGCCTGTCCAGTGCTTGGCCCTCCGCCCATCTCAGCAAGAGCTCTGGCAGCCAGGAAGGACGCAACTCTGGAGGCATGGGGACCACCGCCCAGCTTGCCCCGTGTGTGAGTTTGGAGGAGATGTGAGTCCCTGTGGCTTGGACTGCTTGCACTGGCAATGCTGGAGAAAAGGAGTCCCTCCAGTCCAAGTGTCCCCCCACCACCACCTGCCCTCATTAGCTGACTCTTGTCGAAGGGGAAGGGAAGAGCTAGTGTCGTGGTGGCCCAACCGCTGGGAGCCTCGCCTCACCTCCTTTTTGGGATCTGGCAGGATAAGATGATGTCCGAGAGGGCTTCACTGAAGGAGCGCTACCAGGAAGTGCTGGACAAACAGAGGCAGGTGGAGAATCAGCTCCAGGTGCAGCTCAAGCATCTCCAGCAGCGCCGGGAGGAAGAGATGAAGAATCACCAGGTACCTCAACTAGCACCTCCTCCCCACCGCCGCTCCCTGCAGCTCAGCCAGGGGACTGCGGGGCTTTCTCTAGGGTCAGGACGAACACTTCCTTCTGCGTGGACATTTGGAGCAGGGGACTGAAGAGCTGCTGGGTTTTGGCACTGCTGCAGTGGCACTGGTTCTGCTGCTGGCCTTGCAAACGTGCCCTCCACACAGACGCACTTCACTTCCTACTACTTACTGCAGAGATTCTCTGGGACTTTCGGCTGGGCTTGCATTGCCTTGCTGTTTTCCCCCCACTGGGGAAAGGCTTACACTGCAAATTTGTTGCCTCTACCTCAAACCCTCTCTCCCCCAACCCACTGAATATACCCTAGGAGATTTGCCATTGACTGTAATGGCCCCATAGAGTATAATGAAGCCAGAGATATTCAGAATTACCGAATATTTGGGAATGCCGAATAAATTCGGTTCCTTTCTACCCGAATTTTTAAAAAGATTTTTTTCCCTTGCACACCCCTACCCTGGATATCTTTGGTGGTCTCCCATCCAAAGACTAACCAGGGTCGACCTTGCTTAGCTTCTGAGATCAGACGAGATCAGGCTAGCCTGGGCCATCTAGGACAGGGCTTTTGTGTGTTCTTAGATACAGACATTTCTCTGCAGGAGGTGCCCTGTTATGGAGAAAGCAAAAGAGCCCTCCTGTCTGTCATGGAAGAAGGGAAGACTGAGATTTTATGGCCTAAACCTTGTCTTCCCTGGATTGCCAGTCGTCCATGAACTAGATTCCGATCTGTGTTTGCTTTCCACCCTTTGGGGAGTGTGGCCTCCATGTCCATTTGTCTGTAGCACCCTCATTGGTCTAGTGGAGTGGCTAAAAAAATAGTCCCAGGCGTGTCACCAGTCCGAATGTCACCAGTCTCACAATACAAGAGCTCGTGGGCACTCCATGAAATTGCTGAGTAGTCGGGTTAGAACAGATAAAAGGAAGTATTTCTTCACCCAAAGAGTGATTAACACATGGAACTCACTGCCACAGGAGGTGGTGGTGGCTACAAGCATGGACGGCTTCAAGAGGGAACTGGATAAACATATGGAGCAGAGGTCCATCAGTGGCTTTTAGCCACAAGGTATAGATAGGAACTCTCAGGCTGGGGCAGGTGATGCACTGTATTCTTGGTGCTTGGGGGGCAACAGTGGGAGGGCTTCTAATGTCCTGGCCCCACTGCTGGACCTCCTGATGGCACCTGGTATTTTTGGCCACTGTGTGACAGAGTGTTGAACTGGATGGGCCATTGGCCTGATCCAACATTGGCTTCTCTTATGTTCTTATGTAATGTCATCTCTGCACCAAATTGACTAGGCGTGCTTCAGCAAGCCATTCTTTCGTGTCTGGCCCCTTACCTGCCCCATCTGCAGCATGGGACAGTAACACAGGCCTGCCTCATGGGGCTGTTGTGGAGCTTCTTGAGAAAATGTCTGCAGCGATACATAAGCATTAAGCACGTCTTACTGCTACTCTAGGAGATTCTGAAGGCCATTCAGGACGTGACTGTGAAACGGGAAGAGACCAAGAAGAAGATGGAAAAGGAGAAAAAGGAGTTTTTGCAAAAGGAACAGGACCTGAAGGCAGAAATTGAGAAGCTCTGTGAAAAAGGCAGAAGGTATGTCTGCGAACTGGATGCAGGACCCCAGCGTTGGCTTTCCATGGATGGTGAACAAAGGTTGGGGGCCCCCCCGGGGGGGGGACAGGGAGGAAGGTGGCTCTATCCCTGGGTCCTCACTGAGTCTGCTTCTGCTGAGAAGCGTCCTTTGCCCTCCAGAGCCCTGGAGACTTCCTGGCTCTTGGCCGTGGTGCCCGGGAAGGCCTGCTGCAGCCGTGCGGTGCTCATGTGGGCGGGTTCCGAAGGCCCAGCCTCTAGTCTGCGCGATTCCTGGCCTACTGCCTGAGGAGCCGTAGCCTAGGCTGGGTGGGCAGAGGGGGGCGTAAAGGGGTCTCAAGGCTCTGCCTGGGCAGCAACGACTGAAAGGCGTGGCCTTGGGCCTCTCTCTCCCCTCCCCCCCATCCTTGCACAGGCTGCTGAAAGAGCAAGAGGAGAAGGAGAACAAGATTGTGTCACTCATTGCCGAACAGTCCGAGGAGAAGTAAGGCTCTGTTCCTAGAGTGCCAGGGCCGTGGTCTGCTGCGCTGTGCGGGTGCCCGGTTTGGCTCCCGTTCCTCCTTCCCCCTCCCTGGGCGCTTGGATGCACTTGTGGGTGGGGCGCTCCCCCTCCCGGCTGCAGCGCAGACCACCTAAGGGTTAAATGTGGGCCCTCGTTTGCCATGTTCTAAACATGTTCTAAACAAAGCACTGCCCAGAGAGTGTTGTTGGGAGCCAGTTCGTTCAAGAGTCTGACACCAGGCAAGGCCCCCCCTTGCGTGCTTCCGGCTGGGTGGCCTCCATCGCTGAGTGTTCTTTGCACCCGCTGACCCCCTCCCTGCTGCACTAGTGCGGCTGCTGTGATAGTACGGTCCGCTTCCCCTTGCTCTGCAGCACCCAGACTTCTGTCAGCGTTGGGGAGACATGGCTGGAAGCACCCCCACCGGCAGAGGGTGTCCTTATGGGGGGAGCTCCTCCCACGTGCTCTGAGGGGGGGGGGGAAGGGGCTGCTTGCATAGTTTAGCAAGCCTTTCTGTCTCCCCCCCCCTTTCCTGGATGGTGTGGGATATTCCTGCCTAGCGGAGTGTCGCCGCCGCCGCCTCCCTCCTGAAGCAGAGCTCCTTGTTTGCTTCTCAGGGAGGTCTGGGAGATGGAGCTGGACAAGCTGAAGAACCAGCACAATGAAATCAACCAGTCCATCCTGGAGGAGACGGAGCGGGCTTGGAAGGCAGAGGTAGGCCCGTGCCTCCTGGCTGCTCCCACGGGACGCTCCCCCCTCCCCAAGGCGAGGGGAGGCGGTGCCAGGGCGGGGTGGCCTCTGCGTGGCGGGCGAGGGCCTCTCTTTGCTGAGCAGCCCCGGTCTCTTCCGGCCAGATCCTGTCCCTGGAGAGCCGCAAGGAGCTGCTGGTGCTGAAGCTGGAAGAGGCCGAAAAAGAAGCTGAGCTGCACCTCACCTACCTCAAGTGAGGGGCGCAGGAGGGGGGGGGTTGTGTGTCTGTCTGTCTGTCTGGGGGGGCTCTGCCAGCCACGAATGGCGGTCCTCTGTCATGGCCACCCTGTCCCTAGGGTCCCCTGCTTAGCCATGGGCAGCCACGGTTCTGTCCCTGGAATGGCTTTGAGGAAGCCCCCCAGACCAGCTGTGGGGCTGGCCCAGTGGGGGGAGTTTTCCTTTGTGATCCCTTTCCTCTGAGCAGGGGCCAAGCTGTGTCTTGCCTGCCGTGCTGGGCATCTTTTCCTGCCCTGGGCCCCCACGCCACATTCCTCCCTGTGTCCCGAGCCGGATGCCCTGCCTCCCCCCCCCCCCCGCCGAGCCTGGGGGGCCTACGCCACCCTCCTGGGCTTTAGAGGCTTACTGAAGGGGACTCTCCTGCCTGAGCAGATCCGCCCCGCCCACCCGGGAGACCATCCAAGCCAAGCAGGAGTGGGACAAGAGGCTGAAGGTGATACGGGTGACCAAGGAGAGTGTGCGGGTGAGTGCGTTTGTCACGGGTGACCGGGAGGGGAGCTGGCCCAGAGGGAGGCCTCACGGCACAGGGGGGGGACCCTTAAAGGCCAGCGGGAGGTGACGCAGCCTGGCTGAGTCGGTCAGAGGGAAAGACCCCGGGGACTCTTCAGAGGTGAGGCAGGTTTGCCAAGACTGGATGCAACTCCGCCTTGCCTTTCTGGACCGGTTGGTCTCCCCTGGTCAGAAGAGGCATTCTGTGGCTGGGAAGGGGGTGGGGGGGTGGGCCTGAGGACCCTCGGGCTCTTGAAGGGAGGGAGGTTCCGCTGCTGTTGCGTCGTCGTCGGTCTCTTCCTGTCCTGCTGCCATTCCTTCAAGGAGCTTAGGGTGACAGACGTGGGTCTTACCTGCCTGCATTGCCCCCACAACAACAAAAACAACCACCCTGCGAGGCAGGTCACAGTCAGAATGATGGCTCCGAGGTCATCTGTGGCTGTGTGGGCTTCTGACCCGCTGCACCACCCCGCCCTGACCCTTGGAGCACCCTTTCGTTTTTACTTCATTGACCCTCGTGTCTTCCTCTCAGGACCGGTTCAACGACCACATCCAGCTCGTGCGGAAGGGAGCCAAGCTGAGCAGCCTCCCCCAGATCCCCACGCCCCCCCT